CTCTTTCCAGAGATTCATATCATAAGCAATTTTAATAAGCCCTGTTACTGTAATGCCTAAGTCATGACACACAAAACATGTAGCTACCAGAGACTGGCAAACTGACATTTATAAGCAATTGACAGCAAGAGACAAAAACGAAATTTAAGGCCACAGCAAACTGGATCTTCTGATATTAAGCAGTGCTATATGCCTTGATAAACTTCAAATACATCAGTGTTTATATACGTTGAAGTTTGTAGGTGGCAATGACTAAGACTCAAGAAATATAGATGTCAAAAAATACTCAGACTTTTTTTTTTCTTCCACCCTTTTTTGGAGGCAGAACTACCTGGCTCACTTCAGAACTAGCTGCCTTCTGTCTTGCCCAGAGCCTTCCTAATCTCTCATCTTTTGTCCCAACCCGTGGTGATCACTGATCACAGAGTTCTTTTTACTAAAGTTTGAAAGCTACTATTTAATGACTTAGGCTGTATAGACTATTGGTAAAGGATTTAATCTTATCAATCTTTAAAGAAATATGTACACCAGAATCCCTACCAAGATCAAGCACAGGGCTGGATCATCAATTTAAGTACATGTGAGAGTGGAGATTGGGAAGAGTTCCAAGAGGCTAAAAAAAAAAAAAGGCAAAAACACAAGGAGTGGCGCTTCAGGTAGTAGGACAAAGGTATGAAGCTGAAAAAAATACCACAGCACTTTTGAGATGGATGTGCTCCCTGAACCCAGTTAAGATTACTGCAGTTGTCCATGATACCATAACTTGAACAAAAATAAAGATGGAGACATAATTTATTCAATCATTCTATAAACTACCTTACTTACCTCTACTGTCTTTTTATTTATGTTCCCTCTTTCTAATTATTCATTTATTTTTACTTATTTATTCCTTTATTTTAATTTGACCAGAGCAACAGAGAGAGAGAGAGAGAGAGCGAGCAAGCGACCAGGTCTGGGACTCGAACTTTGGTCATCGTGTGGGAGTCCAGCCCACCACACCACCTGCCAGCTCCATATCTAAGCCTTCTTCTAAGCAGGAACAAAGGTTGCTGTGAGGGATTGAGAGAAATACATAATGTATAAAATGACTTTCTGTAGGCTTTTGCTGCCAGTATGGAAAATACAGAGGTTACTTCAGAAATAAAAAATGGAACTATAGTAGGACCCAGCAAGCCGCCTTCTGGGTATATACCCAAAGATGAAATCCCCACCTCATAAAGATATCTGCACATGTTCATCACAGCATTCATTTTAAAAAAAGATTTTATTTAACTTTATGTATTTATTTTAATTTGACGAGGGGGGGGGAGAAAATGAGAAAGCAAGCCACCAGGTCCAGGAATTGAACCACAGTAGGCCATGTGGGAGTCCAGTGCCCTTAACCACCACACCCCCTCACAGGGTTCTTTATAGCCAAGATAAGCCCATCCACAGATGTGATACACACATACATAAACACAATGGGGTACTATTTAGCCTTTTAAGCCAGACATAGAATGTTAAGTATTGTAAGATCTCACTTCACGTGGGATATTGGGAGAAAGAAAAAGAAAGAAAGAAAGAAAGAAAGAAAGAAAGAAAGAAAGAAAGAAAGAAAGTCCTCAAATACACAGAAACATAATGAAACAGTGTAAAGAGTGGTTAACAAGCTTCAGGGAAGGAGGAGGGAGAAAACTGGAGGTGTAGATTGAAAGATACAAAATAGCAGATTATGTAGGATGAACATTAGGGATCTATTGTACAACAAAAAGTTTATAGGTACTAAAATGGACTGTATATGGGATTCATGCCACATGAGATTTCACCTGTTCCTGCCATAGAAAAGTAACCATGTAAGATGAACCAAGTGTTGATTTGCTTTGCAGCAGTAACCATTTTACTATCTATACATATTCTATAACATCATGTAAACTTCACATACAATAAAACTTATTTTTAAAAATAAAACAGCCCTTGAAGTTATTTAAGAGTCCTTATAGACAAACCAAAAAGTTGGAAAGTAAGTTTTTGGTACTACATAAGTACCTACAGTTTAAACACTGGCTCCTCAGTTCATTCAGTTACTTAACTGGAAAAGAAAAAAAGAAAGCTAGTAAGAATTTAAGCCTATGCAAATAAATGAAAACCCCAATCTCACTTTCAAACTACTAAGAGCCTCCAACTAAGACTAGAGTAAACAGCTCAACCTTGACCCTAGGTTAAACTCACTTTTCCAGGTCCAGCAAGCATTTCCTCCTAGTACCAACAGGAGGGAGACTTCAAAAAGTTCCTGAAAAAATAAAACTAAAGTATATCTCTACTTTTATGAAAAAAAAAAAAATTGAAACCCATGTATAGTCTTTTCATAATACAGACCTTCTAAGAACTTTTAAAAAGACCTCTCATGTATGCTCTCTGTCAAAGAGCAAGTCAAGTTTTAGATCTGACTTTTTGAATACCTCTACTCTCATCACCACCCAACAAAAGTCCTTCGACTCTTCATCAGTCTAGTTTTTGGCTATTGTGTAACTAGTCTGGTCAAGTAGGATAAGCAAGAATCAGTCTACCTCCCTGAATCTGTCAGCATAGCCCTTGAGTTTCAAACTGCTAGAGGTCTTCACCTATCGAAGTTTCAAAAATTAATAGTATAGTTCATACTAAACAAAAGTGCTGTAGGGCAGTAAGCTTTAATATTTCATAAGGATGCAGGAATCTCAAAGAATAATGTTTACGAGTGCTTACAATTCCATCTTTTATTTTTTAAAAAAACCTTAATAAAGCGGCGACAGAAAAAAAAACACAAAGTACTGAAAACACTTTGTTTTGGTAAAAATAAACTAAAGCACTAGCAGCTTTTATTCTGTGTCACTAATAATGCCTTAGTTTTAAAAAGGAAAATAAAACCCGAATTCACTGATAACATCGTACGTTTTGTAGGATGTACAGAGAGGCTACCGGAAAAGTGGAACATACAAAGTAACAAGTTTATAAAGGGCCCTTAAGTTTAGGTGGCAGTCTTTGCCTGCTTGTACCTTTCAGGAAATTATGTGTTCTTGGGTGTTATTTCCACGTTTACATTGGTTTCCACACTTTGGTAATAATTTTCTATTTGGATCCGAGAAACTTTACGTTTTCTCAGAAAATACTCAGTACTTCTTGACGTTGGCCCCCAGGAACTACTCTCGTCTTGCTCCACATCCCAGCGGTCCGCAGGGACTCATAGTTGATTCGGATTCCCACATCAGGGACCTGCCACCTTACGTAAGTACTCCTTGCAAGGAGAAAGGCAGATAAGAAAATAGGGCGCCAAACCTTCTCCTCCACCAACAGCTGTCACGCCCAATAAGGAATGTCCCTCCGGGCGTTTCCCCCCTAAAGTCGCAGCAGTTCTGCTGCAGAGAGGATACGCTCTCTCCAACAGTCATCTCTTCCTCTTCGGGCCGCCAACGCCGACCGCACCACAGTCTCCTCCGCCCCAGCCCTCCCCCCCCAACCCCTCACATGCGCTGCGGCGGCGGTGGACGGGCCTCTCCCCCCGCGCCCCAAGGAGACCCAGCGCCATCTTGCCCTGACGCAGTTACAAAAGTCACGGGAGAAATGTTGTCTCCTCGCCCGCGCCAGCGCCCCAGTTTCGCAGAGGCCGAGCCGGGGCCCTCACCTCGCGCAGGGACAGGAGAAAATGGTCAGGGAAGAGCCTTGCGATTCCCTTCGCCACTGCTTGGGTTCCTTATCGGTCGCGGCAGCAACGATCACCATCGTCACTTCGCTGTCTCTGCCTTTGCAACAGACTCCCGCGACGGCTTTGGCCCCACCCGCAGCTGCAGCATGAGGTCATCGCTGGCCAATCACGATGCGCCTGACGGGACACATCCGGCAGCGATTGGCTGCCGTGACCGCCTCTGCCTCTCCCCACTCCGCTTACCTAGCGCTCCCGGTCGCTGTGGGACAAGGAGGGGACGGAAACCGCCATTTCGGGGAAAGACCCCGAAACCAGAGCCGGAATTGCCGTGTCATTTTTAGTGGGGAATCCCTTATTTTATTCTTTGCCCCCCCCTCTTTTTTTCTTCGCGATAACCGCCTCTCTGTCCCCCACCTAGTTTAATCACCGCCACATAAAAGAATTCCCAATTCCCTCCCCGCACATTGTCCGGGCGGCAGGGAAATCCTTCCCCGGGGCAAAGAGTATAGGACGCAGCGACGGAAACTGCACCGACGACAACGGCAACTTTTTACCCCGATACACGGTGGCAGGGAGGCGGCGTTGACGGTGGCTGCATTTTTTCCTGCTGCTTCTCCCCCCGACCTCTTCCGTTTCTCGCTCCTCCATCGAGACAGCGCGGGACTCGCCAGCTCCGCTTTTATGCGGTGCCCGGAGCCTGCGCACTGGAGCCGCCTCAGCCCCTAGTGGGCGTCGAGTGACACCCCAACCGGGTTCACCCAGTGCTGGAGGCCAGACGGGGGAGGGGGAGGGGTGGGCGCGACTGAGGTTGTTTAGGGGTGGGAGAAAGTGCAGGGCTCCAGGAGGGGGATGGGAGGGGGTAGTTTCCAGCCCTGGCCATTCTCCTTCCACCCAGTAATGGCTTGCCCAAGCTCGCCATACCCAGACTCGCGAGTTACTCGGGGGAAACGGTAAGAACTAATCCCGCCAAACACCGAAACGTCCCCAAACCTCCGGTATATTGTCGAATGCAAACGTTGTGAATAAGACGGAGATTTTGCCCAGCTCACTGCCTCCAGTTGGGTACCCTGGCGCTTTCGTGGAGCGGCAACGGCGGGCGGCCGCCCACAAGTAAGATGGCGGCGGACAGCTTCGTCCCCTCCCCCTCTGCCCCTGCGGAGCTGGGCGGGCGGGCCC